CACATTTGGTCAGTGGGAAAGCCACACATCAATACAGAGATCAATACAATGCAGAGATATCAGTAACATCTTATTTTCTTGAAAGCATAGCCTGATCTTTTCTCTTGTAGCAAAAAAAAAGGAAAAAAGAAAAAAGAAAAAAGAAAGAAAGAAAGAAAAAGTCACACAGGTAGGCTGTGTAGTAGCCAAAGCAGGGGATGAAGTGTTAAAGACTCAACAGGAGAGGAAAATCAAACTTCCTGAGGAAGATCCAAACGACTTTGGATTTTCCCTTAGGTTGTCATTTAGGAAATGGGTAACCTTGGATAAGGTGGCTTGAGAATTCTCATTTTTCTCAATAAAAAATATTAGGATAATTCTGTTACAATAAACTTGCTGGAATGTCAAATTGGAAAGTAAACCAGAAAGTGTTTGACATTAACAGTTTGCTGTGTAAGTAGGGTTTTGTATTGTTGTCTGTATAGCCTTGGAGCAGGACTAATTCCCTAGTGGGGTTGAGGCAGAGAACATTTTCAGACATCTTCAAGAGACTACAAGGACAGAGGGTTAGCACAAAACTTGAAGTGACCTCCACAGCCCCATGGAAACCAGTTTAGGCTAGGCTTACATCTTTTGGATGGACATCCCCACCCCCTTGTTTTCATTACTCATTGAGAACTTGCTGCATTGAATAAAATTATTTCCATCTGAATTTAAAATGTAAGTTCATATTTTGCTCCTTTTGTTACTTGAAAGAGTTGGAGAATCACAGGGCAGCTGAAAATATTTGGACTTTTGAGTAAAGATCTCCACAGGGAAGACAGAAACCTCCCTAGCAACCTCCATCTCATTACATGAAAGCTGAATTCCTCTAACTGCAGCCCCAGCTCCTCCAGCTTGCTTTATAGAAGAACAGCTGGTTTGCAATCTCAGAATAATATCCATCCATGAATGGATTAAATCGTCATGCATATTATCTGTGTTACGTATTCTGAATGTGGCAGGCTGTTAGCATTACCAGCAGTCATTTTTCAGTCTTGTACAAAATATACCCTTGGGATCTCAGAGCCCAGATGCTTAGTAAAATTATTGAAAGGACTATGAAAAAAGGCCATTTTCTTGTTGTGAATCAATGGTGAGTGTATCATTCAGAATAGCCACAAGGCATCTCAAAGCCTCCCCAAATTAGGGAAGAACTCCTTTTGTGAGTACCTTTGTCCAAGAAACAATGACATCAAATAAATCTGCCATCTCACACAGGCAAGCATGTTCATATCATAGTTTATTTGTTCTTAAACCAAGAACAAGCAGGACCAAATCTTACATAACAACTCAAAGCAAGGAGCAGAGAGAGAATAGAGAAAAGGAGGGAGGGAAGGAAGGGGGCAGAGAGACAGAGAGAAGAAAAATGTTTTCCATTGGTTTGATATAAATTTGTTTCCTGCACAAGTCAGGTATTGACAGTGTGATAATGCATGATAATGGGGCTCTAAAGCGTGACCTGGCACTTAAGTGTGCATCCTTCATGGGTAGGATTAAGTACTCTTAGTTTTTGATAAAGCTCCATACTGATGTCTATAAAGGTTACATTAGTTCACCTTTCCACCAGAAGTGGATAAGTGCTCCCTCCTCCCCACATCCTTGGTAGCATTTTCTACCTTTTTTCTTACTGATAGCCATTCTAGCAGATGAGATGGAATCCTAAAGCAGTAGGTTTATATTTTTCTTATGTCTAAGGATATTGAACACTTTTTATAAATATTTAAAAGCTATATGGGTATCTGTTGAACTGGTTTATTAATTGGAAAATTTAGTTGATAGTTGTTTTTACAGTCTAGATATTCAATCCATGTCTGATTCACATCAGTCATAGATTTTCTCCCAACCTATAAGCTGCCTATTTATAATATCCTTTGCTGTACACATACTTTTCAATCTCAGTTAGTTAATTATTGGGGTTAGTTCCTGAACTATTAAAATCCTGTTCAAGAAGTTCTTGCCTTTATCTATGTCTTGAAGTGTGTTCCTATGTTTTCCCCTATCAATTTCAGCATTCCTGGTTTCAAATTAAGGTCTTAGATCTCCTTGGGATCTTTTTCTTTCTGCAAGGTGAGAGATATGGATAAATTTTTATTCTTCTACATTTGGACACCAATTTTTGTCAGCACCATTTGATGAAGATACATCCTTTTTTCCAGTGTATACGTTTGACAAGTTAGTAAAAAAAATTAGGTGGCCATAGCTATATAGGTTTATTTCTAGGGCCCATATTCTGTTCCATTTGTCTACATGGCTGCTTTTGTTCCAGGTACAATGTTTTCCTTAACATATACCTAAAGGACTCTGTACCCTACCACAAAGACACTGCACATTCGTGTTTGTTGCTTTATTATCTTCTGTTGTTAAATGTTATGGAATGGATACATATTTGATAGTATTGCTCTATCATTTGTCTAGACGTCATTTGTCCAACCATTCCTCTATTGTCAGACATCTGGTTTGGCTGTAGCTTTCCAATACTCTAGGTAAATATTCAATATTAATTTTCATATACCACCAACGTCCCTTAGATAAATTTCTGGACATTATCATGAATTTGTCAAGGGGAAGATGTGTATTATAGGGTTCTTGCCTCAAATTACCAAATTGTTCTTCCAAGAGAGTGAACCAATTTAATACCATCACCTTCATATACATGTATATAGAAGTCACCATTTATTTGATTTTTGACAACTTAGGAATTATCATATTTCGTATCATTGTTAGTTACCTTGAGTAAACACCCTCATTTGGTATTCCCAGTGATAACATCAAACAGTTATTACTTTGCATCTACCTTGTATTGTTCTTATTTTTCTCAGGTATTAATGGAGGAAGAGGAGTGTTCAAATCCTTGAGTTTCCTTTGCTTCCTCAGCTTGGTAATCCTTTTCTCTCTGGTACCAGCTTCATTCTTAAAATATGATTAACTGACAAAGAATTGAGATATTATTTACCAGATTGACTACAATCAATCATTAAATGTGTGCACATTAAAAGGATACTAAAGAAAATATCTCCAAACCTCAAAATATGTATTTAACAACACAACCTAAGTCAATCAGCTGTGCAGAGGATATACCAAATGGAAGAGGTGGTCTGTGTTGAAATTCAAATATCTGTTTTCAATATTAACAATGTACAAGGTATATTTTTGTCATCTTCTTGATGTCTATAGTTAACAATTTTATTAATATATGCAATAATAATAATATTAATACCACACACATGAAAGTTAATCCCATTTCTAACTTCACCTATTTCTCTTTCTTTACCATTGTGAAGATTTAACCTCGCCACCACAGTTTGAAAAACAAGCCCCAAGTACCACAGTCCTTTTTCAGCATGGATCATGAATCATGGATGGCTGCAGCTACTGTGGGAGACTTTGCAGGCAAGCATGGGTGTGCAGTAAGACAGAGGCAGCAAGAGCATCATTATGAACAAAAGAAGTATCAGGGGACCTACCCTGCAGTTACCTTCACCCTTCTCCCCAACAACCTGCCAGTAGCACTTTCATTTTACTGTGCATGCACTTCGAGTAAAGCTTCCTGGTGGTTCAGAGCAAATGTAGATCACAGCCACATGGTGTCTCTACCTGGCCCCACAAGGACAACACTAGGTAAAGAAAAAAAAAGCAGTGTCTAGAGCTGCAGATCTTGTCCCTGAATCCAGACCCACTATGTGGTGACCCCATTGCTGGGCTCTATAATCAACTCTACCTTGTGTCTTCTTTGCTGAGTGACAGGATGCACATGTCAGGGTGACTGGCACAGCAGCCTGGACTTGCTAAAGGATTTTTGTCTGCTGAGCCCTGATCAAAGAGCTGCTGTCCATCCATACCTTCCACCAAGTGAAACAAACAGGACTTTCAAATGTAAGCAGCATATGCTAGAAGAAGCTAGCTAATAGCCAATGTGATTCTTTCCTTGTGGTGGCAGCAGAAAAAAGCCATACACATTCTCTTCTTGAGAGGGCATTCCTAGCATATTCAAACTTGATTGATGTGTCAGGCTCTTGAAACTTGGTCATCTTTCCTGTCCTCTGGGACACATTTATTTACTAAAGATTCCAAGTACTTGCCATTTGTTACCTACTTATTCTGATACCAGGAACTCTCTAATACAGAGGACCAATATTCTAGATTCTTCAGAAAGCCCTGGTTCACTTCTCTCTGAACTATGACTAAGGTTGAGAAAGCCAAATAGCCCTGAAAAAAAGATAACAAAAATGCATACTATCATTTTTCTCATATGAATGCAAATTGCTTCTTATCCTATTTTCTGATAAAGATAGGTAAAATAAATACACTCACCAGATAGAGATCTGTATACCTTGTGTGGAGGATGTTTTAATCTGCTTTAGTAGAGTAACTGACATGGTTCAGTGACTACACCTAGCTTATTACCAAGTATCAAGCCACCTCAACTGCATTCTAAGCTTCTCTTCATCCTTAAGTCCTTACGGTGAGTTATTTAGCTTTCCCCAGGCAATTTCTTCACACATCAAATGGAGACTGCTACCGTACCTGAATAAAGGTGAGACAGGAGTTTAGCTTCTTTAGGCAATAAGAGTAAAACCCATGGATGAGCCTGAGTTAGTCAAGTAACATGCATAACCTTCCCCTGGATGGATGAGGAACCCTGCTGTTGGGCAGAGGGAGCATGCAGACAACATGTGGCCTCCTCCCTGGTTCAACTTGCAATGAATTCAAAAGTGACCAATCCAAATAAAGATTACCTCAGCCACCACCTGATTCCCTCAGAAGGACCTATAAAAGCCCATCCAGTAAGACACTGTGATACTAGTCCTCTCTGGAAATCCCTCCCACTCCCCAGATTTCTTTTCTTACATTCTCTTAATTAATCTATGTTCATTTTTCTCTCTCCACATCCATGTTTTCTTATATTCTTGGGTATGAGATGACAAACAGAAGCCACTGGCTTAGGGTGACTTTGGTGGCCACTGACAGCCTGGAATTCTGTCTCCCTAGATACAGTCACTAAGAGTCAAAACAAGCCCTGTCACTCTCAAAGAAGCCACAACAATGGGGTCACTTGGGGAATTGAAATTAGAAAATTCATAGTGCTTACAACTATGCATGACACACAGTAGTTACTAAATAAATGCCAACATCCATCCAGTGCACAGCTTGATTTAATAAAATTCTACAAATATAGTTTCCTATTATATAAAGAATCTGACATGAAATGAATCCATCCCGCATGCATTTTGGGGTGCAATCATGAAGAAATATGAGACGAGGTCAATTGTTGTACCACCAGCATCGCCGTGAGTCACAAATTTATCTGTGCATTTTATCAACCAAATGCACAATTATTACGGGAGAATGTTTGCTCAACACTTCACTCTGCACCATTTGCAATAGATGAGCTGACCAGGGTGGAAACAATCATTCAGTGTGATAGCTGTCCTGATATCAGACTCCAGAAGGGACATCCAACCACTGGTCCATTCATGATGCATATATCTACACATGTACAGCATGCTTCACCATCTAGAATCACTTTGTTACTTTCTTTTGCCCCCTATGCTAGAAACTCAATTATATGGCAGGGAAAGCTACATACACACAGCCTAGAACAAGCAACTGCCTCTTGTGGAACATCCACAACCTTGTCTGCAAAGCACTAGTGCTCTAACTAGTCCAGGCTTCCCTTCCCTTTCAACTGACTGACTTGACATCAGGAAAACAGAGCTAAAAGGAGAGAAACATTTTTGTGTTAATGTGTTTGTCTTGCTACCTGAAGGACAGCTTGTGTGAGCTACAGTAGGCTTTCTGGCTGACTGATGACAGTAGAATACTGATTATTCATTGGTGTCGAGGACAAGAGTCTTGTGGAGAAGCTAATTCTGTGCAGCAAATGCTGTGCCCCTGGCTCTGCTTTGAACTGCAGGGGACAGTCACCATGTTCTGGGCTGCAAAATCACAAGGCAAGTTGTTTACAACCAGCAAAATGAATGCGGGAAGCATTTTTCAAATCATTAGAGAAATTCCACCTGTGTGACATTTCCTCCATTCCCACTGCATTTCTCTCTAGGAAGATGGAAGATTCTGAAATAAGTAATGCAGAAATGACCTCTTTGCAGAGAAAAAATATCACACACATACAAAAGAGAGAGGGAGGAGGGAAGGAAGGAAGAAGAGGGAGGGAATGAGGGAAGAGAGAGAGAGAGAGAGAGAGAGAGAGAGAGAGAGAGATCATGGAGGGTGAACTAATACAGTCAATTTAAGAGAAGCATCATTTACAGGCTGCTAGGTGTATGTCCTCGGGAACTGCTGAGCACCTAGGCTTTATGTGAATGTCACTGATGAGTATCTTCCAGCTACACTTCATTTGCAGTCCTTTAGCAGTCTGCATGTATTTCCCTACTTAATAAAGCACTCCTGTGAAGGGAAGAGAAGATCTACACGTGCTTCTCTAGGAAACTGGAAGGCAATCATTTACCGTAGATGCAGACGGATAAGACAGAAAGAACGCCATCACAGCTCCAACCCACAGTCATCAAACACCTTGGTGATTTTGTGCTATTTGCTGAAAGGACACAGGCCTGCCACCATGCAGTGCAATACTTCAGTGTGTGGAAAACCTAGTGAAACCACTCGGGAAATTAGTTTTAATAGTTGTAGCTAAGCTATAAATCATCTTATGGCTGGTCACAAGTTTAATCTGTTCTCCAGTTTCTCTGTTGTTCTGCTTTACAAAGCTTATCATCAAAAATGACCACGGCTTTAAATTCAAGCACACACACACACACACACACACACACACACACACACACACACACCCTCATGCACAAACTGTTGCCAATTTGATGGCATCTAACACAAAACTATGCTACTTTTCTGTTTCCAAATTCCTCTGGGTGAGTCACTTCTCAACATATTGTCTTTTACTTCAATATTGGGCATTCTTGACTCCTGCATTCCACCACCCCAATCTTCCTTTCTTCTTTCTTTCTTTTTCTTTTTCTTTTTCTTTTTCTTTTTCTTTATCTTTTTCTTTTCTTTCTTTGTTTTTTTTTTTTGGTTTTATTGAGTCAGGGTTTCTCTGTGTAGTTTGCATCCTATCCTGGCACTCTCTCTGTAGACTAGGCTGGCCTTGAAATCACAGAGATCTGCCTGCCTCTGTCTTCCTAGCGCTGGTATTAAAGGTGTGCACCACACCACTAGCTACCCCTAATCTTTCAAATCTCTCTTTCCAGTACCCTTTTCTATATCCCTTGGATATACCAAAAGTTTGACAATTAAGAATTTTGCATATTTACTTTGGGCCTCTCTGGGATACATATTGCTATTCTATTGCTCATTGACATTTGTGCTCCTTAAGATTATATCGAGGTCACAAGGAAACCTGTGTATAGGAACATAGTCAAATGTTTAAGGTATCAAGTTTAGCAAATGAAAACATAGGACATTCATCCAATTAATGTTTAACTCAACACAAATAATAAAATTTGTGTAAGACTATCCCATGTAGTATTTCAGATATGAAAAAGGAATTTCTTGTGTGTCTGAAATTCAAACTTAATTGGATACCCTTTATCTGGAAACCTGTATGTACATGAGGAAGGTGAGGAGGAAGCCAATAGATCTGGAAAGATCCCCACCATACCTGTGGGGTGACTGGGGTGACAAAGGGCCTACTCCTTGCCTCAGAACTAGGGGGAAAAGTTTGAGACAAATGAAACAAACTAAGTTGTATGGGCATGTTTAACTCCCCATTGCCCAGGGTAAAGCTCCTTACCAATCAAGACCCTTTCTAGCTCCAAAAGGTTTCCCAGGTATCCAATACAAATCAGTTGAGCATCCTTTTAGCTGTCCATCACCCAGACAAGGCCTTGGGTATAAAGACATGTAGAATTATCCATTCTCAGTTCCAAATCATGCCTAAGTAGGTTCACCTACATTCTTCAGAGCACAGAAGGTATTTCTTTTTAAATATGTTGCCCTAAAATGCCGTGGGCTATCACTTCTGTGATTCGATGTCCAGGTGTGATGTTGATCATTAATGATGCTCTAGTCATGGTCTTAAAAGCCAGACTAATGTAATAATAACTTTCTGCCAGCCGCATGAGTTCTGCTGTGGAGGCACCACCAGCTGCCCCTGCTTCTGCCACCACGTTAGGGCCCCCAAATAACACACAGAGTCTTATGTTAGTGACAATGCTGCTGGCCAATGATTAGGATTCTCATTTGCTAGCTCTGTCCAAAGTATCAACCATAACCATTAATCTATAAATTTTATAAAGACTTACCTTATCGAGGACACCAGACATGTGCATCCTTTCTTCCCAGAAATCACATGGTGACTCTGTCTCTACTACATTTCCCAGAATCCTCCTTGACTCCTGGCCCCACCTATCTTGCTTTCCTATTGGCCAACAGTGCTTTATTTATCAACCAATAAGACAAACATATACACAAAAGGACTTCCCCATCAGACTAGTGTACCTTGGGTTTCCCCAAAATGCACAGGTTCTCCACTCCAATGGTGTAGCAAATCATATTATGTCATTTTCACATCCCTTTGAAGACTATATATTGGACACATCCTAAAATCACTAAAATTCACCAAGATTCATGCCCCCAACTACATGCTTATTTTATGGAACATGCAGATGATTCCAATTTAGGGTGAGCATGTAATGCTGACAAGGTTACTGAACTCTAAGGGAACACAGCTCACACATTTTCAGAAAGTACATTTGATTATACATGTGTTCCTAACATGGTTATGGTTTCCAAATGCCATCTACTTATGAATTACTTTTGGCTTGGCTTCATTATTTACACTGGACATTGTTGTGGACTACTTGGTTAAGCCCAGAGTGTGCAGGCATATATGTTTCTACCAAAGGCATTTGAAAACCACAGTTCCACAGTCACTAGATCTTCAGGCATGTATGCATTGTGATTCACCTGCCAGTCATCTCTCACCACTTCTCTCGGGCAAACCACAAAAATCTGCTTTGTATAGTGACACGTTCCCCTTCACTATTACATTCCCTTCCTTCTGTAGAGTGGGAATGGACAGAACAAGTAGGTTACAGCGTCCTTCGCCCTGCCAGGCAGCACTATACCAAAAAAAAAAAAAAAAACAATCAGTTTGAGAAATAGATTTATTAATGTATTTAATAACAGTGTGTAATCAGCCTTTTCTCCTATCAAGAAATATTACTTCTGAGTAAAAAGTAGCCAAGTGTATTGGTTAATACCTATAGTATCAGCACTTAGGAAACAGAGACAGAAGCATTGTCACAAGTTACAGACATGCCTTAGCTATATAGTAAGCTCAAGCCAACCAGGGATGAAGAGTGAAACGGTGTCTCTAAAAACAAAGAAAAACAAATAGTAATCTATAATACATGATTTCAACCAGAAGCACAGACCTAATTTTATTTTCCTTTATTAAGCTCAACTTCTTCCTCTATGAACATCTGTGTTTCTTCCTATATTCATTATTACTATACTTACTAGGAATTGTTGCTAGAAATCAAGTAATGCCAAAAACAAGATCTTTCTGAAAATGTGTAGGAAAATAATATCTTTAGGTTGAAAGACTGTTTTTAATTCAACTTATTTTTTTCTATAAACTGAGAACATTTCCAGCATTTTGTGACAAAGTTGACATATCTTGGAGATTTTAGGAACTAAGTTCTCACATACAGATTATTAGTAAATAATGAAATGGATGGTGCGAATGTTGATATTTTTAGAATGGAAAATCCTCTCTCTTTCTCTCTCTGTCGCTCTGTGTGTGTGTGTTTGAGAGAGAGAGAGAGAGAGAATGTGGTGTTTCTCAAAGATCACAATATAAAATGTCTTTCTTACCATGTGGGAATATCTTAATTGAAATGTTTGAAAAGGAGTCAGAGAAGACAAGTCTACTTATAAAGTACTTGCCATACAAACAGGAGGACTTGATGACAGATCCTCAGAATTCATGAAAAAATCCAGGAGCCAAAGCACTTACATGTAATCCTATTGTACCAAAGAGCAGAGACAGGCAGATCAAGTAAAATGGGTGACCTCCAAGTTCAGTGAGAGATCCTGTCTAAAAAGACAAGGTGGACCACAATTGAGGAAGAAATCCAACTTTGGCCTCTGGCAACACAGACACACACACACACACCGACAACCCCTCTCATGCACCAAGTTTGAAAAGTATTGCTCTAAAATGGTGTTTCTAAGTCTTTAATACTCATATAAATTACCTAGGAGTTTGAAAAAAGGCAATTTCTGACTCAGTAGCTCTGCGATAAAATTCCTAAGTGATTCTGATGCTGCTCTTACTGGGGTCCACACTGTGAACAGGGATGCCCTTAAGGAAAGAACCAAGCTATGGGAAGATAAAAGTATCCATTTCTGAGGAAGGGCACATGAACTTAGGCCTGGCTGTGACACCTAGTCACAGAAGAGCCTGAAGACACAGCGTCTGGCTCCAGCCACTCTTCTAGCAGACAGCTGAGCCCATTCACCTTCCCCTCTCTGCAGTTTCTCTGCTGCTCTCCATTTAGCATGACTCATTCAAAACTGGGACAAGATTGTTGGCTGCAGATCACAGACATCAAAGAATTCAAAACAGGTGTAGCTAATCCAAATATGCAAGGTTGATAAGAACTTTAGACTAAAATTACCCCACTATCTATTTTCACCCAGCCATTGGAGTGAGCTAATCTGAACACAGAACTGGGTCTCACCCTACTGAAAACTCCTGGGTTTCCTGTGAGGCCTGCAGATAGATGAAGTTCTTGGTTGATGCTCTGTCTACTGCCAACCTTATCCTCTACCATTCCACATCCCAGAACCTGGGGCAGTTGTATAGACCATGTTTCTCTCTCTCCTGTTTGATTAAAGTTTCTCTGCCCAGATAATATGCATTTAGCCTTCTTGATGTCCCCCAGGAACCTACCTAACTCTTCCTTTCCTATCACAATTGGTGTGGGCTTCCAGAGGAAGACTACAGAGATAGGTGGCTTCTAAACAATAGAAATTTATTTCTTCTAGTCTTGTGTCTGGGAAGTCCAAAAACAAGAACCCCAATAAGGCCAGGGTCCCTGAGAAAACTCTCATTTGATAGGCAAGTGGACTGCTTGCATTCTCTAAAGGCAGAAAGTGCCAAGGGCTACTTGCCATCTCTTCTTCTATATTATGAATAGTAATTCAGTTCATGAAGTCCCTACCCTTGTGACATAATCACACACACACACACACACACACACACACACACACACACACACACACACACACACACAGGCATAAGTTGCATCATCCTGTTCACATGTTATTACCACCATGCATGCCTTTGTAAAAACACAAGTGGAACACAATAATACTTGAGATCCAATCTTTGAGAATTTTTTGATCAAGTGTGTGTGTGTGTGTGTGTGTGTGTGTGGTCTCTCTATCCATCCCAGGGATGCCCTTTCCAGCGAATGATTGAATTGTCTTTGAACAGAATGGCTATATATCCCCTTTAACTGCTGCCCTGCAAGTATCTACCCATAAGGCATGATGCTTTTGTTGTTTTCTTAGCCATTTTGGAGCACTTGGCAATATCTGAGTCACATACAAAGACAGTCTGAAAGAGGTTAGATTACTGTAAATATGACTAAAAATAGCTGAGAAAACTATAACTTCAATATGGCATGTCACATGCCCAAAATATGCATCCTCCTTTGACAGAACAGACACTTCAAGCAAGCTGCTTTTTTACCCCTTGTTTAACACTCATTGTTAAAGATGATGCAGCCTACATGAGATAACTTTCCATGCAAATGAAGCTTCTCCTTTTACATGTGTTGTAGCAGGTAGATGCTTAATACTTTCAAACAAAGAAAGAAGTTAGAAACACTTCAACTTTAATCATTTTAAATCAAATATTTCTAAACCTCATTATAGATGTCTTTGCTTGCTTTACTGATCAAACATAAACTAAAATGATATCTTCCTATATTCTGTTAGCTTACCAGTCATCCATCTGTATAGAAAATTATAAAGGCTTTGGGGTTTTTGGATGACTGTTGTTTGACTTTTGCTTTCAATTTCTGGTTCTCTTTTAGCTAATACCTTAGTTTTTCTCTGGCAAAATCCTTGCTTTCTTCAACTCCTTCTCAGTATATTTTAGGGCACAGATGACAAACTCATAAGAATTGATGAGAAATAAATTCAACCCAGCAAAGGAATTCAAGTCTGAACACCTGGTGTCCAGTCCTGACTGACAAGTAACCCACTGTGGGAGCTTTGGTAGGTCACTGAGTGGCACAGGGAATGGAAGTCATGATCCTGAAAATCCAGACACAGAAATCCCTCTCCTACCTCTCAGCCTGGAAACTCCTCACAGACCCGACACCTAGTCCCATCATCACTGTTTATCTGGTCCCACCAGAGGCATCACTGTCACCCTCCTTCCAGTGCTAAATCTAGGATAAAATGCCTCCCTGGGTCTTTCCCACTTATCATTTGCTGTGGATTATCTGCCTGTCATCCACAGATTGGGTACTGCTAGAGAGAAAGAGCCAGCCTTCACTTTCCCAGAGTCTACTAGGAGTCTTGGGAATGTAACCTGGGTGGGACATTTCTATTTCTGGAAAGTCATGTTTATTCCCTCACAAAAGTGTCAGTCTTTGATGGCTTAGAAGTATAGGATGAACCTTGTCCTTCAAAGATACACTTTGAGAAACCTGATTAAGTGTTCCTTTATGCTCTATCAGTGGTACTCAACCTCCCTAACGCTGCAACCTTTTAAAACAGTCCTTCATGTTTTGGTGACCTCCCCAACCATAAAACTATTCCATTGCTATTTCATAAGTGTAATTTTGCTACTGTTATGAATTGTAATGTAAAAATCTGACATGAAGGATATTTGATATGCGACCTCTGTGTGAAAAGGTCAGGGTCATAACCCATGTTTTGAGAACTACTGCTCTAATACTTTGAAGACACCATGGGCACCCCTGGTGATGGAAAGAGTTACTCAGAAAGAGCTACACAAAAGAAGTGGCGGCCTGATTGTTTGACATCTTCTTCCCAGAGTGAGCTGACCATGAGAGGAAAGGTAATGTCTACAATTGCCCACTCAGTAATCACTGGGGAATATGTTGGAGTTTTTGTTGTTGTTTTTACATTATGTCTCCATAGTAGAAAAAAGAAAATAGTGATTTATTAATATTAAACGGTACTGAACTCCTCAAAATAGAAAAGAGACTCAAGGCAATTTGAAAACAGAGCCACATCTCTAAGCCTCTAAACTTGTGTCTGCCCCTCCGTTTTCAGCTTCACTTTACAGGCTCCTGACCCCGAAG